AATAATAATTGTAAGGTGTACATGTCTGTTTGGCTGGGTTCATCTGACCTTGACCTCATTTTCATGGTTCATTGTTCAATGCAACTATATTTGATGCATGGAATGAATATAAGGTGTACATGTCTGCCTGACAGTGTTCGTCTGATCTTTAACTCATTTTCATGGTTCATTTGTTAATATTAAGTTTTCATTGTTTGATCTGTTTTTTGTAGACTATAAGGAATAGGTCAACTATATTTGGTGTATGGAATGATTGTTAGGTGTATGGTCTGCCTGGCAGGTATCATCTTACCATAACCTCATTTTCATAATTCATTGGTCAAGGTGAAGTTTTCGTGGTTTGGTCCATTTCATGTAGGATGACTATATTTGGTGTATAGAATGATTGTAAGACATACATGTCTATCTGGCAGGGTTCATATGAACTTGACCTCTTTTACATGGATCATTGTGATACTTGTATTAAAACCATTAATGTATCTTATGGACTTTCAATATAAAATCAAAGCAGGAGAGACTTTTCTTGCTTTTATCAATATACAGCAAAGATTAACATTTTTTTCAAATATCAATGTTACAAGATTTTTAAAACAAGCATTCTGTGAGTATTGCCTGGCAATACATAGTCCCATACTGGTTAAAAATTCATTGTACTGGAACAAAATGGTAACTTGATCTATAGCTTGTCATGGTGTAAACTATATAAAAAATATCAAGTCAATATCTTCAAGCATGACGAAAAAAAATGTGGAAAATTGATTATTTAAGTGAATTTTCCAAGTCCAAGGACCATAACTCTGCACAAAATCATCAGACCGGAACAAAATTCAAACTTGATTTGTAACTTGTCATGATAAACCTATATACCAATTATCAAATCAATATCTTCAAGCATGATGAAAAAAAGTGATGAATACTGATTATTTGAGTGAATTTTCTAAGTCCAAGGACCATAACTCTGCACAAAATCGTTAGACTGGAACAACATTCGAACTTGATCTGTAACTTGTCATGATAAAACTATAAACCAATCATCAAATCAATATATTCAAGCATGACAAAACTAGAGGCTCTCAAGAGCCTGTGTCGCTCACCTGTATTTACTGATGCTTTGGAAATCATGTAAAATAAGGTTAAAATCATAATTAATAGTATTAGATATTAGATATTATAATGATATCTAAGATAATAACAAAAAACTGTAAAATTTCTGTAAAATTACTAACTCAGGGGCAGCAACCCAACAACAGGTTGTGGGATTCGTCTGAAAATTTCAGGATAGATAAATCTAAATCTGATGAACATTTTTGCCACCTGTCAGATTTGCTCTTAATGCTTTAGTTTCAGAGATATAAACCAAAAACTGCATTTTACCCCTATGTTCTATTTTTAACCAAGTCAGCCATGATGGTTGGAAGGCGGGGTCATCGGACAAATTTTTTAAACAAGATACCCTAATAATGATTATGGCCAAGTATGGTTAAATTCGTCTCAGTAGTTTCAGAGAAGAAGATTTTTGTAAAAGATTACAAAAATTTACGAAAAATTGTTAAAAATTGACTATAAAGGGCAATAACTCCTAAAGGGGGTCGACTGACAATTTTGGTCATGTCGACTTATTTGTAGATCTTACTTTGCTGAACATTATTGCTGTTTACAGTTTATCTCTATCTATTTATTGCTGTTTACAGTTTATCTCTATCTATAATAATATTCAAGATAATAACCAATAAAATGCTTCGCTGGGGCGCAGCTTGATACGACCGCAGAGGTCGAACCCTGAACAGTTGGGGCAAGTATGGACACAACATTCAAGCTTGATACAGCTCTGAATTTGGATTGTTATTAAATATTTGACACAGCATAGGTTTCTGACACAGAAAGAATGTGGTCTAAGAACTTGAATTTTTTTAATTTACCTATTATGGTCCAATGTCCAAAATCAAAATACATGGTTAGATTCAGCATATCAAAGAACCCCATATTTTCAATTTTTGTTGAAATCAAACAAAGTTTAATTTTGGACCCCAACTTGGACAAACTTGAAAACTGGGCCCATAATCAAAAATCTAAACACATGTTTAGATTCAGCATATCAAAGAACCCCAATAATTCAATTTTTGCTAAAATCAAACAAAGTTTAATTTTGGACCCTTTGGACCTTAATGTAGACCAATTTGAAAACTGGACCCAAAATTAAAAATCTAAATACACTGTTAGATTCGGCATAACAAATAAATAAATGTGATCAAAGATTTTACAAACAATGCGCCATACTGTGCAATTAAAGATTACTTCTTGAAATTTTTCAATATTTGAAATTTGAAAAAAAAATAATATTTGAAGAATAATTCTTTTTAATTTCTGAAATCTGAAATGAGAAAAAATTGACCCCCCACAATTTCTTTTTATCCCCCCCCCCCTTTTTTCCCCAAAAAAAATTCTTTCCCTCAAGATATGGTCATAATCTCAATTCAAATTTCCAATGGAGTTGGCAACCATAATTACCCATTTAAATTTACCATAGTGCTAACTTAATCTATTTTATAATAGAATTAAAAATATAGTGTCAAATCTTTCATATGGATTTTTTTGTAAAAAAAAAAGATGCAACATTTGCAGATATTTTTACTGGTCTTCCTTTATAAATATGTATTTCTTTAAACATAATTTAAAAGCAGTGTAAGGGAAGTAACCAAAACGTTGTATTTGGATTACCTCCCTTACACTGTTTTAAATTATCTTTATTGTTCATTAACCATTACTTTATACATAATTTAAAAGCAGTGTAAGGGAGATAATTTCAATGATGTATTTGATTTATCTCCCTTACACTGCTTTAAATTATGTTTTGTACTAAAGTATTTGTCCATTAACCAGGACAACCTTGTTTTTCCCCCTTTTTTGCCCCTAATTCCTAAACGGTTTGAGCCATAACCCCCCAAAGCAAATCCTAACCATCCCTTTGTGGTATGGAAACTTGTAGTATAATTTCAGAGAGATCCATACACCGTTCAACAGTTATTGTCTGGAAACTAGAAAATGCTTATTTTTGGCCCCTTTTTGGCCCCTAATTCCTTAACTGTTGGTACCATAACCCCCAAAATCAATCCCAACCTTCCTTTTGTGGTATTCAACCTTATGGTCAAATTTCAAAAAGATCCATTCACTTAAACTAAAGTTAGAGTGCGAAAAACCAATGTGTCTTCGGACGACGACGCCGGACGACGACGACGCCAACGTCATACCAATATACGACCACAAAATTTTTTTGCGGTCGTATAAAAACTGCAAAATTTCCTTAAAATTACCAATTCAGGGGCAGCAACCCAACAACAGGTTGTCAGATTTGTCTGAAAATTTCAGGGCAGATAGATCTTGACCTGATAATCAGTTTTACCCATGTCAGATTTACTCAATGCTTTGGTTTCAGAGATATAAGCCAAAATCTACATTTTACCCCTATGTTCTATTTTTAGCCATGGTGGCCATCTTGGTTGGTTGGCGGGGTCATCGGACACATTTTTTAAACTAGATTCCCTAATGATGATTATGGCCAAGTTTGGTTAAATTTGGCCCAGTGGTTTCAGAGGAGAAGATTTTTGTAAAAAGCTAACGACGACGACGGAGGACGGACGCCAAGTGATGAGAAAAGCTCACTAGGTGAGCTAAAAAAGTGTGGAAAACTGATTATTTGAGTGAGTTTTCTAAGTTCAAGGACCATAACTCTGCACAAAATCATCAGACTGGAACCAAGTTCGAACTTGATTTGTAATTTGTCATGATAAAACTATATACCAATTATCAAATCAATATCTTCAAGCATGATTAAAAAAAAGTGATGAATACTGATTATCTGAGTGAATTTCTAAGTCCAAGGACCATAACTCTGCACAAAATCGTTAAGACCGGAACAACATTCAAACTTGATCTGTAAATTGTCATAATAAAACAATACACCAAATATCAAATCAATATCTTCAAGCATGAAGAAAAAAAGTGTGGAAAACTGATTTGCCGGACTGATGGATGGACAGACAGACAGACAGACATAGTGCAAACCTAAAGTCCCCTTCGATGGTAGGGGACTCATTGCTTAAAACCTAAATTCTTTATCAGATACAAAGATTTGGTTCAGAAGTTTTGCTGTACTTGTTAAAAGCCCTTTAACAAATGGGATATCACATCTTAATTTTTACGGTGAAGCTGTTTATAGAGCCTGTAAGTATAGATGGTATCCATGTAAACATTTCCAATTGCTTTGTATAGGTTGATCTTGTTTCTGTTTATACACCACTTTCCCAGGTTTAGGGAGGTTTCAGCATTCCCAGGAATGCTTAACCCTGCCACATTCTTCATAAACCTATCCCTAGTCAGGAGCATGTACTTCGGTGGTTAATGTTGGTTGTTGTCTACCAAATAAGTTTTTCGTAAAAAAAATTTCTTTCAAATTCTTTCACATTTTGTCATGCATGGGCCTTTATAGCTTGCTATACCATACGGATTTTGATAATTGTATTGACAGTTATTGCATGATCATCTCATCACAAAAACTTAATGTAGACCTTATTTATGTCATTGAACTATTAAATATAAGTTGACAAGGATTGTCTAACTCTTCTTCCTTTTGTCATATTTTAATGGTTTATACAAATGGATTCTGCAGCTACCACTTGATTAGCTTGTATATGGCTCGACTTATGCAAATTTTGTCACAGACTAAATAAAAATGAAATGAAACCACCCAGGGGCAGATCCAGCCTTTTTTAAAAGGAGGGGGGGGGGGGGGGGGGGGGGGGGGTTCCAACCATATGTCCCCATTCAAAAGCATTGATCGTCAAAAAAAAAGGGGGGTTCCAATCCCTGGGACCCCCCCCCCCCCTGGATCCGCCACTGCCACCTTCAACTTACACAGGACAATGTTTTTGTATTAATATAATATAACAGCATACTCAGGATACTGCTATAATGCAAGGATATTTAAAGACATGACAGCAGCATTTGAGGAATCATTTATTCAAGCTCACTTATCATGTTTACATTCATATGTTCAACCTATTGAAACCATTTCAGAACAATTTCATCACACCAAGATAGTTCCTGGAATCACACTATCTCAAACAAGAATATAATGTCATTTGTAATTTCCCTTATATACAATGAAGAAAGTTGTACAATATTACAAGTATGGTCTCGTAAACATTTTACATAATATTTTCCTTTTTTACATGAACAACATAATTAGTTTATATACTTCTGACAGTTCTATTCAACATCTTAACAATACTGTGAGTACACATGATTGTTTTTAACATATAGCTTTTTTCTACATTTTTACATAAACATACTACATGATTGATCACATTAATCGTAATATGAAATTTGATTAAAAGCTTACACAAGTCTCACATTTTATTTACACATATGACATCATAATTCCTCATTTGTTTTGCTATTTTTTAGTGTTTTAGTTATATTTTTCAATTTTTTTAAACATTCCACATTTAAGATGTAAAATAATATATTTCCAATCTTTTTATTAGCAAGAATAACATTGACAAAGAACTAAATAAATAAATTTTATAATTGAATTGTAAATATTGCATTTTTAGTTTTTATTGCTAAAATCTAACAAGACTAGATCATATAACCAGTCCTGTGTTTGTTCAGATTTTTTTCATTAATATTATTTTCAGTTGGTCTATGCAAGTAATTTAAATATGGGTGTGCATGTGGAATGTGGGTTTTTCTTTTTTATTTTTTGGAAGTCTAGTGCTTGGGTTTGTATGTTTTTAATCTTTATATGTATTCTGTTTGTTTTACATAGTGTTTATATACATTAGACTGGGTCTTTTTTTTTTTTTTTGGTTGAATTTTTAACAGTGCTTGTTTTTCTTTTCTTTTTTTTTTCTTTCACTTATTTTTACAGTTTGTATATATGCATATTTATTATCGAAAGATTTTTTTGGTAAATATATAGAATGTTGAGAGATACTAAATTTTTGCCAGTTGTTTTCCCTTTAAAACGGCAACTTCTTTCAGACAAATATGGAGATAGGAAAAATGTATCTTTTCTTATCTTCCTAAAATTTTAAAACACTACATGACATTTTACACTAAATTTTCTATTATTCATAGAAGTTCTATAAAAATATAGAGTGAATTTAAAATCCATATTTGTTGAAGACAAGTTCAACTACCTTGCTAAATATAAACACAGATTTCGGGCAACAGTTAAAAGTCCTATTTTTGCAGCACAATATAACTCTACCAATTTGCATTTTAAATGAAAGAAGAATTTTTACTACAACACATAAGATTTTGAAGACAAAAGGCTAGCAATATTTGTGTTGATACGAGTCTGTTAACTATTCATCTGGTGGAATGGTTGCATGTTCTGTAGGGTTTTTGTGAATGACCTTTTTGCTTGAAATGGAAGAAGTGACTTGTGTATTTGAATCACTTCGTCTGCTAAGAGTATTCATAACTTTCTTCTGTTGTTCTAAATTAGTATTTTGCTGTTTGATATTTTGAACCATCTCTTCTTTTTCCTCTTCAGAAAGTAAACTATATGTACTGACAAAGTTGTTTTGTTGCAGTTTTGTCAATTTCCTTTGTAGATCATGTAGGTTGTTCTGTTCATTCAAGCAATCTGAATAATCCGTCTGTTTATTGGACTCCTAAAAAATGTACAAATTTTTGTTATAACAAAATTCACTACAAAAGTTAAGTTTTTGCACATATGATTGTGGTTCAGACGTCCTTAAGGGAAAGGTACTATTACATCTAATATGGTATAAGGAATAAAGATTTCTTTGGATATGGAAAAATAACGGTTTGGGTTTTGATTTACTGTTATAACTGTTAGCATTTATGTTTGAAACTGATGTGGATGAATTCTGAACCCTAAAGAGGAGTGTTTTGTTGTATTTGAATGCTACCTTGTACATATTCGAGGATGTTTGGGATTACCCCTACAGGGTAGAGGTATGATAAAGTGAACTTACATTGACATTTAGAATAAGAATATATAGATATAAGAAGATGTGGTATGAGTGCCAATGAGACAACTCTCCATCCAAGTCAAAATTTATAAAAGTAAACCATTATAGGTCACAGAACGGTCTTCAACACGGAGCCTTGGCTCACACCGAACAGTAAGCTATAAAGGGCCCCAAAAATTACTAGTGTAAAACCATTCAAACGAGAAAACCAAAGGTCTAATCTATATAAAAAATTTGTAAGGGTTCCACGGAACCCAGTGTCTCGCCTACTTTTTCTGTTAATCGCAGGCTCAACAAAAATGAGGAAGTAAATCAATAAAAATATTCCTCTTGATACTATCTTTTGATTGTAAGAAGCTTCTGTCCAAGTTTGGTAAAATTCCAGGATAGTTTATGAATCTAATAAATGTTTAAAAACTTTAACTGCAGACTGAATGTAATGTTAACTGGAAGAAAACAAAATTTCCTTCTAGATACTGGCATTTGATCATAAACAAGCTTCTGTCCAAGTTTGGTACAAATCCAAAATAGTATAAGAAAGTTATTAAAATTTTAAAAACTTTAACCACCGAGTGAATATGTTGTTTCCTGGCAGAAAATCTAAGTCTATTTAAAAGTAAAATACGGAAAAAATGGATTTATTTTTTTACAAAATTTCCTTCTAGATACTAGCTTTTGATCATAAACAAGCTTCTGTCCAAGTTTGGAATAAAATCAAAATAGTATAAGAAAGTTATTAAAATTTTAAAGATTTTAACCACAGAGTGAATGTGTTGTTTCCTGGCAGAAAATCTAAGTCCATTTAAAAGTAAAATAAGGAAAAAATGGATTTATTTTTTTACAAAATTTACTTCTTGATACTATCTTATGATCATAAACAAGCTTCTGTCCAAGTTTGGTACAAACCCAGGATAGTTTAAGAAAGTTATTAAAATTTAAAAAACTTTAACCACAGAGTGAATGTAATATTTACCGGCAGAAAAACTAAGTCCATTTATAAGTAAAATACGGAAAAAATGGAATTTTATTTTTACAAAATTTACTTCTGGATACTATCTTATGATCATAAACAAGCTTCTGTCCAAGTTTGGTAGAAATCCAGGATAGTTTAAGAAAGTTATTAAAATTTCAAAAACTTTAACCACAGAGTGAATATTTGTGGACGCCGCCGACGACAACGACGACGCCGACGGAATGTAGGATCGCTATGTTTCGCTTTTTCGACTAAAGTCGAAGGCTCGACAAAAAACGAGAAACGAGAAACACTTATGAACCACATCAACAAACAACAACTACTGAAAATCAGCATGGTTTATGGATGAGGAGCTATAAATTTACAACTGTGTTTATATTTCAAATACTCATGTAACTTGGTAAAGGAATTATCCACAGCCTTGGGCGAACACTGGGAATATGTCTTGTTAAGTATAGCTGTACATCAGAGTTCAGATTTCAGACACTAAGTTATCTTGGGTCATCATATAACATGTATCTTGTTGAGTTAAGCAGCCTCTCTTTAAAAGTAGTTCCCTTTGACCAACATTTTATGAAGGCATTTGATTTTCTATAGTTTTATTTATTTTCTTGGGTACAAAATTCCATGGATTGAGAAAAAATTGTTTTTTCATGGATATTGGATTTCCAGTATTTTCCAAAGTCTGCATACATTGAAACATATAAAAAATGTATGCTTCCTTGAAAATTTTAATTTGTGGTTTTCCTATGAAATCCATGAAAATTGGTATCTGACTAATAATAATAAATCCATAGTACATTGTACAATAATTACAAACACAAAACTAAGTATAAGTGTGCATCTTGGGGGGTGTGGAGGCTTTCAAAACAATAGTTAACACTTATATACACTTTTATTGTAATAAGTTTTACACTTATTTCTATTAACACTTCATTGATTGTTTACCGGTTATCTTCTACACTGTGTAGCATCACCACCAGATATAGGTACCCCAAAGCAATGAAACAATGTGTAAACAAAAGTTTATTTCGTAATACAGTTGTTCAAGCTTAAATATGATACACCTTTGTTGTACAAAAACATCAAATGAATAATTGACGGATAAATGAGTTTTAACAAGTTTAAACTAGTCACATACTTTGTTGAACAGGTACCCCCTATCTGATTCTGGTGATTTGAAGAGAGAGAAAGCCAATTAAGGATCACAATCAGCCCTTAATACTAGCTACATTATTAGGAATCAGTATCACAAACATTACTTGTCAGAAAACGTAGATTATAATTAAAATAAGAAGAATTTGACCTTACCTGACTTCACAGTTGTTTTCCCACCGCTATGGGGGTACCTATATCCGGTGGTGATGCTACACACTTTTCTAGTTTATTTCTTGGATACTTATTCATCACATATTTTTTTTTTCACCTTGAATTTAAATTCTACAAACCACACTGTTTAATTCTTTTCATATAAGGTTTAATGAAATTGTATATTTATGTAGATAGCACATATTTTTATTTTGTGACAACTCTAATCTTAAGTTACCTGTACTAATTCTTTTCTTCTTGGAATTGCAGATGAATTCATATCAATATCCTGCACACTTTCTGCCTTTGATTTCTCTCTTTCTTTAATGTAACCTTAAATTCGAATATAAAAGGGTTTTTTATCTCATAAAACTAAAACAGTTGTTATTTACAGAAAAGAGATGAAAATATAATTACCGGTAGGCATTCTTTTCAAGTGTAAACTTAACATAAGTCCACATTTTTTTTAACATTTGGCCTATAGTTTAAGGAACTTTAAAAAGATTTTTTAGACAATAAAATTCAGACACTGGTCAACTTTTTTTTATTCTTTTTTCACAAAATTTTCAAAATGAGACAGGAAAAAAAAAGAGACACAAGTTAAGGTGAACAAATAGAGTTATCCCTCTTTGTACTGGCCTTCTCCCCTCATGTTTACAAGTTTTAATCCTGTTTCTGTATTGATTGTTCTTAATCATTTTTAATTATGAACAATCAGTGTGTTAGATTGCATGTGTTGTTTATGTGAATACTGTATGAACTTTGTGATTTGTCTTGATTTATACACTCTATATGTGCCTATAAAATAGGAATAAAGAAATTTGATTTGATTTGACTTGCTGCAATTTTATGTAATCACACTAATGGTGAGCCTCAAGCCTCTTATTTCTGCAAAAATATTTCAAATTTAGAATTTAATAAATAAAGAATTAAAAAAGTCCTATAATACTCCTTAAACCCCCATGAAATTTTATCCAATTATTTAACATGAAATACTTACAATATATTTCACTGTCTGTCTCTCCAGCTTCTGCTTCATACACCTGTGTACCATTTTTCCTCATACAGTCAAGTTGGTTTGATATATCTATAATTGACAGAAAATAATGAAGAAACAAGCATTAGTAAATAAATATTAACTCAAATGAATTTTATAATAGTTCACAATATCCCTTAAATTTTAAAACTTATTAATTTAATTAATCTCTGTATAAACTAGCTTCAGACTTCTGAAATATCATTTTCTCAATATAAACAAGCATTTAGAGGGTATTGCATATGCAATATAATGTCCCCTACCTGATGCAACATTTAAATTGGATGAGTTTACATGTACATGTATATGGGACAAGTGTAAAGTTGTTACTGATGTAGTTGGGAATTTCCATCTTATCAGTTGGGTCAAGCCCCGTCAAGGTATGAATTTATTGAGATGTTGATATATCAACAATTACAGACCCAGCCCAATACAACCCATATAGCATAAAGCTTTTAGTTCTAAAAAAAAATAACAATTTATAGCAATTTTTGCACATCCAAGGACCAGAATTCCTGTAATAACAGCTTCTTATGATAAGACTATACACTAAATGTCTAATGAATTGATTCAGACATTGCAAAAATAGGTAAGGAAAAATGATATTTTCAAGCTGGTTTATATGTCAAAGGACTGAAACTCAAAACTGCAAAAATAATTCAACTGGAGCAAAACTAAAACTGGATCTGTAACTTTGAATGATAGGACTATAAACCATATCTCTAATCTATTGGTTCATGCATAATAAAATAAAATGCTTCGCCGAGTGCAGCCTAATACGACCGCGGAGGTCAAACCCTGAACAGTTGGGGCAAGTTTGGACACAATATTCAAGCTTGATACTGTCTGAATTTGGATTGTTATCAAATTTTTGACATAATATAGGTTTATAACACGAAATAAATGTGGTCAAAGATCTTAAAATTTGAAATGGGACATTTAATTTACCTAGTATGGTCTGATATCAAAATCTAACAACATGGTTAGATTCAGCATATAAAAAAACACCAAAAATTTAATTCTGGTTGAAATCAAACAAAGTTTAATTTTGGACCCTTCAAACCTTAATATGGACTAATTCGAAAACAGGGCCCAAAATAAAAAATCTAAATGCACAATAAGATTCAGCATATCATAGAGCCGCAATAATTCAGTTTTTGATGAAATCAAACAAACTTTAATTTTAGACCTCAATGTAAACCAATTTAGAAATGGGGCCCAAGATCCAAAATAGTAATACAAGGTTAGAACCCCCCCCCCAAAAAAAAAATTTAAAGACTTCAAATTTATCCCATTGAAATTGGTTAAAAGATTTGTATTTATTTTCAACTGAAGATTTCTTGCTATTGCACAATACTTAGTTAATCTGTTATATATAATAATTGTTTGGTATGTATCTCCTGCCATATCAGTTTTTGTTGCTTTTATATATAAATCAGAAATAATCAATGTAAAAATTCGTAAGGGTTCCGCGGAACCCAGTGTCTCGCCTACTTTTTCTGTTGATTGCAGGCTCAACAAAAATGAGGAAGTAAATCAATAAAAATATTCCACTTGATACTATCTTTTGATTGTAAGAAGCTTCTGTCCAAATTTGGTAAAAATCAAGGATAGTTTATGAATCTAATAAATGTTTAAAAACTTTAACTGCAGACTGAATGTAATGTAAACTGGGAGAAAACAAAATTTCCTTCTACATTGTAGATACTAGCTTTTGATCATAAACAAGCTTCTGTCCAAGTTTGGTACAAATCCAAAATAGTATAAGAAAGTTATTAAAATTTTAAAAACTTTAACCACAGAGTGAATGTGTTGTTTCCTGGCAGAAAATCTAAGTCCATTTAAAAGTAAAATAAGGAAAAAATGGATTTATTTTTTTACAAAATTTACTTCTGGATACTATCTTATGATCATAAACAAGCTTCTGTCCAAGTTTGGTACAAACCCAGGATAGTTTAAGAAAGTTATTAAAATTTTAAAAACTTTAACCACAGAGTGAATGTAATATTTCCCGGCAGAAAAACTAAGTCCATTTATAAGTAAAATACGGAAAAAATGGAATTTTATTTTTACAAAATTTACTTCTGCATACTATCTTGTGATCATAAACAAGCTTCTGTCCAAGTTTGGCAGAAATCCAGGATAGTTTAAGAAAGTTATTAAAATTTCAAAAACTTTAACCACAGAGTGAATATTTGTGGACGCCGACGACGACGGAATGTAGGATCGCTATGTCTCGCTTTTTCGACTTAAGTCGAAGGCTCGACAAAAATGGAAAATTTTTAGGAAAAAAAAAAAAAAAATTTGAAAAAAAAATCCCCCCAAAAAATGTGTCCCCCCCCCACCCCCAACTTTTTTTTTGAAATTTGAAGATTATTGTCTGTTCAGGAAAAATGTACAATTTCAAAGAGTTCCATTAACTTGAACACAAATTTTTGTCTGGTAATAGAAAAATGCTTGTTTTTGGCGCCGTTTTGCCCCTAAATTCTAAACGTTTGGGGGCAATTACCCCCAAACTCAATCCCAGCCTTCCCTTTGTGGTATGGAACAATGTAGTACAATTTCAGAGAGATCCATACACTTACACACAAGTTATTGTCCGGAAACTACAAAAAAGCTTGTTTTTGGCCCCTAATTCCTAAACTGTTGGCCATGGTACGTTAATCCCTAAAATCAATCCCAACCTTCCTTTCGTGGTATTGAACCTTCTGGTAAAATTTCATAAAGATCCATTCACTTAAACTAAAGTTATTGTCCGGAAACCAAATGTGTCTTAGGACGACAAAGACGACGACACTGCCATGATAGAATTATACAAACGCAAATTTTTTGGGGTCGTATAAAAAAAGTGTGAATATTTTAAAACAATTTCTGCAAAAATTGCTTCATTTAATTAAACTCAACATAGATTTGTTGTTTCTCTTGTGAGGACTAGTAGTATATATATTCCTAAAAATCTAATCAATTTGTAGGACTCTGAATCGTGATGGTACTCCTAACCGCAATGGTCATGCTGATGTGCAATGGTTTGACTCTGAAGTGAGATGGTAGCATTGTGATGCTATCTTCTTGATAGCTACACCCAAGGGCAATGATGGTAACGTTGAAGTGCGATGGACTACATAAACTATATTTTCAATGCTTTTCATGTCAATGTATAAGTCAATTTGTTTGTTAGAAGCAGTTTTTCTGGTTTTTAAGTTAATAAAGGGGCTTATAAACTTTTAATGCAATGGGAAACAAGGAGTGATTGATGGGGAGGGAATAGTATATAACCTTTTGAACTTGTAGCGGATTTTATTTCCAAATCTACAAAAGGTTCTTTCTTAAGTATGATGGAGCGTTGCATTCTCTAAATACATTTGGTTCCACAGACAGACTCTCTGTATTATAATTATTATTAACTATATTCGGTAAACGTAGAACTCACGAGAGGAATCAAGTAAAGATAACATGTTAACGCAGAATTATGTTCACATGCAGAAAATTAAAGATAAAGATCTCTCATTTAGTATGCAACTGTACATGCTGTAACAGGACATACGTTTGTACATAAACAATAACGAATGCAAATTTATCTACAAACTATTTAAGAAATCTACTTCTCATAGGCCTAATAACTGAACAACTTTAGATTTAAAACTAGCCATCATGCGTAATAAGGACCATCGCACATCAGCAAATGGACCATCACACTTTAAGAGTGGCCATCGCACTTCAATGTGACCAGCGAACTTCAGTGTCCCCATCGCACCTCCGAGTCACAAATTGGCTAAAATAATGATATAGACTGTCTTACCCTTTTCTAGATATTGTTTAATATCAAGTAAGGTCATCCTTTCATCAGGATCATGATCAAGCAATTTTAAGATGATATGCCTTGTGCTACCTTGGACCACTTCTGGAATCTCAATTTGTTTAAGTCGCAAACCCTTTATAACAGGTTCTTTCTGTTGCTCTGTTGTGTTTTGTGGAAATGGATATATAAGCTCATACAATATGAAGCCTAAGCTGTAAAGATCCACTCTCTTGTCATATCTGCGACTGGTTAACTCTGGTGCACAGTATGGTAATGTGCCTATGTATTCTGTCATAACATCCTCCATTATTTTACAGCCATTCATATTTCTACACAATCCATCTTCGTACTGAACTGCATTTCTTGCACTCCCAAAATCACCAATTTTGATAGTTCCATTCTTTAGGAAAATGTTTTTGGGATTTAAATCTCTATGCATTACTCCTTCGTTGTGAATATATCCAATTCCTTCTAATATTTCATTCAAAAATCTGCTTTTTACGTCTTTTGACAAATCTGCATTGTCAATTCTTTGTCTTAAGGTTATATTGCAAAATTCCATTTGGATGAATAAGAGCTGATTTCCATCTGTTGAATGACTTTCTTCATCTTGCTCTTCAAACTGAATACAAAATGTATCATCATCTTGCTGTTCTTGTGACTTGTCATCATCTTCATCTTCAGCAGAATCTTCCTCTGTTAATATCCAGCTGTTGTGATAACGTACTATATTTGGATGGTTGAATTGGCAAAATACTTTAGCTTCTTTTGATATCAATTCTTGATCTTTACTTTGATGAGGGATTACTTTGAGAGCATATAAGTTGTTATCAACCTTATGTAAGCCTTTAAAGACTGCTCCAAATCCTCCTTCTCCAAGCTTTGAAAGCACCACAAAATCTTTTTGTATCCTTGCATTATTGGAAAATTCTTCAAGTGTTGGCAAATCCAAGCTCTGACTGCTGCTTTGGGAATCAGTATTGTTACCAGATAACTCTGAGTTGTATGTTCCACTGTTAGAACTGCCACTGTTGAACATTGACTCTACAAAGAAAACCTTATAGAGTTGAAAATATGTCTTTATGAAGCATGAATACTTGTTAATAAAACTATATCAAGCATGGATATGTCTGTCTTAATAGAAGATGTAAGTCAACATGGTCAAAGCACCATCAAACGTTTCATTGATTTAAATACCAGTATGGTCAATTCTGTCCCTTTTTGCAGTATTTAACATGTTTAATTCGAGAAAAGTGTAAGACACAGTTATGTCACTTTGATCATGCTTGAATTTAAGTGAAGGGTAATGGGAGTTAGATATATTACGAGAATAACTTGATTTCAATGTTGTTAACTTCTGCTTAAGATAATAATTCTTTCATCTCCAGACCATAAAAATGTATTCAATGAATGAATATTTAGTTTACATGTTCAAATTTTATATGCTTTATTTTGTAGACTGTATCAAAATATTGAATAATCCTTGTGGCTGCCATTGGAACACCAAATGAAAAGATAAATCAAATGACTTAAGATATCATTATGGCTTTTGGGTGTGTAGGCATGGTAGGTGTTAAATACCAATACCTGACTTCCATAGACATGTGTAGAAAAGTCACATGATCACTCACATCAACTTGAAACTAAGTACACATATTCATCAATGTTAATTTCTAGATATGTTCAATTAATACACTTACCTGACGAATCATTGTCTATTCGACAAATCCTGCCAAACTCCACATCAAAAGAGGGAAAAATCTCCTTTCTTGATGTGGAGTTTGGTAATCTTATGTCTTCTGAGTGTTCTTTTAAACCTATAAGAAGAATTTTTTCAATCAATGAATAATGTGTCATGTACTCGTAACTCAACTAGAAAATGGACATGTCTGCAGTGCACATTTATGATTTTTTTGTGTGAGGCAAGGATAGTAGTTGGTTTTGATATGGTTTTTGAAAATGTTAACCAGGGCCAATGAAAATTTTGGAAAATTGGAGCTGACAGATAATTTTTGACACCAGAAATCATTTTAATAATATTATATTCTACCACTATACAAATGTGCATGTATATCAAATTTCATTGCTATCTGCTTTCAATAATTAGATTTTCCTAGCCATTCTTTGAAAATTCAATAATTTTGTTCATTTCCAATAAACAAACAATATACATAAATGTGCACTATGCGTAACTTTCCTATTCACCAAAAATTTGCCAGTGCCTATTGTGCCTTCAAGATAATTCATGTCATGGCGCAAACATTCACTGACAGGTATAAATGACAATATTTTGCCCAAAGACACAATGACTGACATATATCATCTGAAAAAAAGTAAATAGCCTTCAAACAGTAGCACTCAGTTCTTATTTAAACTTAGGTCTTAGAGCGAAGAATGTTGCCCTATATATATATGTGAATATTTGCGCCATAACACTAACAGTAACAGCCATTTTGTCTTTAAATTTTGATGAAATAAAACAATCGATTTTTTTTCACTGTAAAGTCAAGTGATACCAGATTTTAGGTATAACACTTAAGAATGTGGACATTAACCATTTAGGAGGATCTTCCATAACCTGTTATAATAAATCCTATAAAACAAATGGGTACATTTTCCTAAAGTGAAAGTAGAAATATTTGTAAATCACACCCGAGGCAGAGACAAAACTCTGCAGTTGCATATATATATACTTTAGATGAAAAAAAAACATATATCATGGAACTTCAAAGTAGCAACTTAATAAGATACGAAAGAAATGTTATCCATTACTAGCCTAACACGTTATGTGATCGTTTTACCTTCTCTGTGTCTATTGTCTTGTTCCATATTCAGACTTCATGATGGTTGTGCTAAAATGAGAACGAAACGAAACGAAAAGTTGACAAAATAAAACGAAACGAAACGAAAAATAAAATGACAAAACGAAACAAAACGAAACGAAACAAAAATGCTTAATGACCAGTGGCAAATGCTTCATGAATATTAAATGCAAGTTCATTATGACAACAAATGTCTTCAGAGTTCCAACCTATAGATTGCAAAATTGTCGGAAAATTTAGGATGAAAACATGTAGCTTATAATTAATTAAAAAAATAGTTGATAGGCACTGATTTTCGAACTTGTCCGAGTCATTGCTGATATAAACCTATGATATACTGTAAATTCAGAAATTTTTGCGTGCAATTATTATTGCGATTTTTAAAAAATGGACAAAAATGTGAGATTAGTTATTGCGATTTCAGGAAAATCTGCATACAGATATATGTATCAGATATCAGAATGTAAGTTCTTATTATTGCGATTTTCACCACGAAGTCGCATTATTAGCATTAATAAAAAAAAACCTTGCAATCATTTCTGAATTTACAGTAAGTTTTATAAAATTATGGCAAGGATGGTTCACAAGAGAGAGCTAACAATGACATTTTCCATATACTAAGTTAATATTTCTAAGGGCATAACTCTTTTAAAAATAGTTGATCGGCACTCATGATTTTCGAATTTGTCTGAGACATTGCTGATGATAAATCTATTATATAAGTTTTATAAAAATCTGCAAGAATTGTACACATCAGAGCGCTAACATGACCGGACGGACAGACGGACAGACGGACGGACGGACGCCCGGACGCCCGGTATTTCTATGTCCCTGCAACGCGTCGCGCGGGGGACAATAAAGAAAAGAATTATAGTTCATTTTAACTGACACTGGGAAAGGGGGGTTGGTTGAAAAAAAAACACTCCAAACTAATCAAACACAGTGTATTTCCTAATTAAGGGACCCTTAATAAATATTGAGCATATTGATCAATTACTAACCTGGAATTTTGATCAATGTTATATTTTTGATTTTGCTAGCTTCACTTCAAATAATAAATTCTCTAAGTTAAATATTTTCAATTTTGGAAATCTAATAAATGGTATAGCAAGTACAATGTAAAATGTTTCATGATGCTGCATATATAGGACCAGAGATATATGTAGTATATATAGGACATTACAATGCAAAATGTAGCAGTCGTCCACAATCACATTCAAATTGCAATAATTTAATTTTGGTTGTAACACGTCCTCTGATTGGCTGAAAGTGTTTTGTCTATCAGCTCATAGACATAATTTTGTCTTGTGACCGCGGCGTCATCAACATTTTTATCATGGTTTACTCCTTTCTAGAATTAAATTATAAGGAACGACTTAAATATTTTTTCTGTCTATTCGAAATAACATAAAAAATGTGGTGCACACTTTTAAATAACCCGCTACACGAGTTATTCAGTGTGTACCACATTTTTGATGTTATTTCTTCATAGTCTGACAGAAAAAAATATATTGACAACGTCTTTCATATCTTGGACTATATTCCAGTTTACCAGATTCAATAAATATACTAGAACGTGAATTTCTGATAACCATTATTCTATTTTGCTTACAGGAGATTTTCACAGCAGAGCTGCTGCCAATTTAGACTTCTATGAAATAACAAATACTAATCATGACACATCAGATAATTTGAATGTTGATTTTTCAAACAATCTACACAAGTTTCATATGTCACGCATTACAAATAGTTACGCCAAGACAAAAAACCACTTTGGAAATTTACATTTAGAAATGTGTAGTAATAACAATCTGTTTATCAGTTTAAATGGTAGAGTTGATGGCGACAAACAAGGCTTATTTACGTGTGGTTGATTATTTTATATGTACGTATACTTTGTTATCATGTATTGTTAATATGTCTGTACGTGATTTTTCTGTTCTTTTTTCCGATATTCATTCGACTTTGAACCTTAAGCTAGTCTTCAACTCGAATGATGATGTCGATGAACGTGATGACATTACAATAAACATTATTCCAAAGAGTGGAACAAGTTAAGAACATATCGTAAATTTAAAAACAATTTCAAATTAGAAAACATATTTACATTGTGGTAATGAAAATAAAAGAAGGATGCTAACTTAATTTAGAGTAAGCTCACATAACCTCAACATTGAGAAGGGAAGATATTGTAACTTGGGTATTAATGTAATTTATGTAAACATTCTGTTGAAGATGAAATCCATTTTTTTAATTCAATGTCCATGCTTAACAACAGTACGCAAACCATATTTTGATCAATTAAATGATAATAATAAGAATTTTAGTAAACTTTTTTTTCTGATGAAAACAAATTAATTGGCTTTTAAGCAATGAAGACACATACATCATTTATATAATTCATAAACTTTTAAAACAACTATCCAAAGAAAGAGATGCACTAATGCATAATTGACTCAAAAGCTGACCCCCTTTATTATTATTTATATTATTGTATGAAATTTTTGTGTTCCAAGTGGAATCCATATTGCTGGTTTTTATTCACTAGTATAAGTATTTTATGCAGTTCTTTTCTTTAATAAATGTATACCAGTATATGTTCAATTTTTTAATCGACTCTATCATTCAAATCATGTTTAGTATTGTATGTTTTGTCTTGTAGTCATAATTAAACTGTAATTATTCTGCACTGTGATTAGTTAATAAAATTATTTGTATTCGTATTTGTCGTGAAAGAAAGGGCTTCAAAAATTGGATCGTGAAAAAGAAGCCGAATCGATAGAAATAAAATCGATCAATTAAATGATGATTTAACTGTTAAATACCAGTATATTGGCTCAAAAAATATTAATAAAATAGTTGAATCTGTAAATGGTTTAATGCTGGATTCAATCGAAAAGGTGTTTGGATCATTTAGTTACAAACGACACGAAAAGAAATGTCGAAGAAAAGTAATTAAACATTGGTTTGACCAAACATATTGGGAAAAAGACGGTGCTTTCGAATAGCATAAAGAAGATATAAAGACAATAAAACATGTTTAAAAAGGGAACATAAAGTTCGTGAATATAAGAGGCAAATGAAAATTTCTATAAATAAACATAAAAAAGCCATGAGAAAAAAGATGAATGTTTTGACAAATAGTAATTCTAAAGAATTTTGGAAATATTGAACTTGTATAAAGAGAAAAAAAGGACTAATATTCCTGTTAATATACTCTTTGAATTTAAAAAAAAATAAATTCGTCAAATTCTGACGATAGTGAAGTTCCAATTTCAGATGAGAATAACGAGCTGAATTCACTGTTAAACAGTCCTATTACTGAAAATGATATTTTTAAATGCATTAAAACTTGAAAAATAGCAAATCTTGTGGTGATGACTTCATTATTAATGAACATATTAAGAGCACCAACCAGATTTGCATGCCAATCTATGTAAAACTATTCAATATTGTATAGGATACTGGAACAGTGCATGAACTTTGGCTTGTTGGTAATGTTATACCTTTTTATAAAAACAAAGGTGATCATTTAGATCCTCAGAACTACAGATCAATAACTATTTTAAACTGTATGGGTAAACTTTTCACGTCAATTCTGAATTTAAGACTTAGTATATACATTTTAAGAAGAATATTTGTTGTTAATGAAAACCAGTTTGGTTTCAGAAAGGGTTATTCCACTATATATATAGACAGCATATTTACTATGCATTTTTATTTGAACAACTGAAACAAACAAAAAAACAAAAAAACTTGTTTGTGCTTTATTGATTTTGCTAAAGCATTCGATACAGTTTGGAGATTTGGTCTTTGGTCAAAACTCCCTTTACATACAGTGAATGGGGAGATGTATAATACTATATTTAATATATATAAAAATGTCAGTGATGGTGAATATTCAGATCACTTTCCATGTAATGTAGGTGTACGACAGGGAGAAAATTTATCTCCTATACTTTTATCTATTTATCTAAATGATATGGAAAGCTTTTTTTCAGAACAAAAATATAAATGGTTTGAAATCTTTATCACATCAAATAGAGAGCGAGCTAAATGTGTTTTTAAAACCGTGTATTGCACTGTACGCCGACGACCCTATCCTCATGTCAGAAACACAAGCAGATTAACAAATCAAATCAAATCAAATCAAATATTTTATTGTCTTATAAACTTTACAGTTTGTGACCAACATGTATTAACACAATAAACATATATACATACATATCAAACAAACACAATAAAAACAGCATCAAAATTTATAAAAACAAACAAGTTGTTAAGAGTCCCCTGCCCTCAGTTCTAATGACTTTTTCAAGAAGGATCCTAACTTATTTGTTTGTAAAGGCGTTGATGGATTTAGTAAATAATGAATTTTTTCTTCTTCATTAAAATTATTAAAGTTATTATTTTCAGTACATATGTGTTCAAAAAAGGCATTTCTTAGTGTTTTATTATAATCACAATAGAGTAAAAAATGTTTCTCATCCTCTAGTATTTTACATTTATGACAAAGTCGTTCCTCTCTTGGGATTTTAAAATATCTCCCCTTTTCAATTAAGAGGGAGTGATCACTTAGTCTAAATTTAGTGATCAATCTCCTTATCTGAAAATTAGATATATTTAGATAAGATTCTAGTTTGCAATCCTTTTTAAGTTTTTTATATAGATAAAATTTACTTTTATCATCAATGTTTTCAAATTTAGTTTCAATTAAATCTTCATATCTATTTTTCATTTTTAACTTTATATCGTTTTTTATTTTATTTACATCTTTTATGTCCTTACAATTAGAAAAAATATTAAGGTCAATATTAGTCTCTTCAACAATATTCTTTGCATATGTATACCATGAATAAGTTCCAGTCAAATCTAGAGACTGTGCTAGAGAAAAAGCTTCCTTTATCAATGGATTAATATTATTATTATATAGTCTAGCTAAATATAAAAGGGTTTGTGTTTTAATAAAACATTCTATAGGCAATCTTCATAATTCAACTCTTGCCCCTAAATTGGATGCATTTTTTCTTATTCCTAGAGTAGATTTACAAAATTTAAGATGCATATTTTCAATAGGGGTTTTGTCTGTAAAATCAAGTTGATTAATTTGTTTTCCTGAAGATAAGGCTCTGTTTTTGGCTCTATGAAAAGAAATATATGTATCCAAATATGTTACTTCTGAATTATAGGTCATAATTGGTTTTACTAAAGAATCAAAAAGGTTATTTGCTACTTTTATAGGTAGATTATTCAATGATTTAGTATAGGATTTTATTGCAAAAAATACTTTTTTTGCCTTTTTTGTCAGATTTAAGGTACTTTGTGATAAATTTCCATTACATTTTATCAACATTCCCAAAAATGAATATTCTGATACGCTCTCTATGGCTTCATTCTCATAGTAAATATGTGATGTTTCACCATTTTGTTTGGACTGACTGAAAATCATGGATTTTGTTTTGTTTGTATTTAAAGAGAGTTGCCATTTGTTGCAATATAATTTAACATTATTTAAACTGTTTTGAAGACCCTCTTTCGATTCTGACAGGATCAAAAGATCATCTGCAAAAAGGAGGCATCCCACCTTACTATTTATAAGCTTAAGGGAACTTGAATCATTTCCCTCAAAATTTTTTACAATATCATTAATGAAGACATTAAATAAAGTGGGGCTGAGGGTGTCTCCTTGTTTAACCCCTCTAGCAATATTAAAAAATTCTGATACATAATCTTTGTATTTCAAAGATGATTTAGTATTTAAGTATTGTTGTTTTATAACTCTGTAAAAAGACCTGCCAACACCCATTTTGCATAATTTATAAAGTAAAGCAGTTCTCCATACTGAATCAAAAGCCTTTTTCAGATCTATAAAGCAGGCATAAATCTTTTTTTTTCTCTTTATGTAGATATTTATTAATCAAGGACTTCAATAAAAAGATGCTATCAGCTGTTCTGTGATTTTCTCTGAAACCAAACTGACAATCACTTAATTGTTTGTCAACAATCTTGATTAGCCTATTATTCAATATGGCATTTAAAAGTTTTGGTAGATTACTTATAAGAGAAATTCCTCTATAATTATTAGGGTCTAACTTGTCACCTTTTTTATGTAAAGGGATCATGAAAGATAATTTCCATGAATCTGGATAATTACCTGTCTTTAAAATCAAATTAAAAACTTTTACAATAGAATTAGTTATCACAGGTTGTGAATGTTTGAGTATTTCATTCACAATTCTATCTGGACCTGCTGATTTGTTTACTTTAAGGTTTGAAATGACCAGTTTTACCTCAGCAAATGTAATTGGTGCATCAGTTTCCATATTCAATTCAATATTATCCTCTAGAATGTTTAATTCACGTTCCAGTTTATTTACAAAGGGTTTATCATATGATGTTGGTGTACCCTGATCCTGAAAATGTTTTATGATTTTATTTTCATTCATTAAAATTTCAGGAATATCTTCTTCAATATCTTTGGTTTCTTTTTTATTGCCTTTAGAACATTCCAATATTCTTTTGGATTATTTTTAAAGTTATCTGAAAGTGATTTATAAAGTTTTTGGTGATATTCAAATTTTTTCTGTTTAAAAATTTTTTTTTAGTTTTTTACATAATTCAAAATATTTAGGTTTTAAACTTTTGTCATTTAAGTTATTCTTGATTTTTATTTCCTATATAGTTTATTTGTCTTTTTGTTTCATATACTGTATTATCTGACCATACTTGTTTAATTTTTTTCTTTTTCTTTTTAGTTGGTTTAGATATGCCTTTACATGTATTTTCTGCAATATTTTGTAAAAATTTTGTAAGTTTTTCAGTTGCACCATCAACGCCTAGTTTATTGCTATCAAAATGTTGCATCTCTAAATCTAAAATTTCCTTTCTAACATTTTCTGTTGATAGAACATCAATTAATTTTGAAAATGACAATTCTGTCCATTTGTATGATTTAATCAAATGCCATCTCTTTTCACCTAGACATTTCTTCATACATGTATCTGATATAATAGAACAATTCATATATAAGTTTATTTGAACATGATCTGATAAATATGTAAAGTCATTTGTTTTAAAGTATTTTACCTCAGGCAGGAGACTCTCACTTGCAATGGCATAATCAACTGTACTGAACCCAGTATTACACATATAAGTAAAATATCCTAGGGAATCTCCCAAAAAACGGCCATTGAGTATACGTAGCCTTGAGGATGAACATAATTCAAGTAATTTATTCCCCAATGTATTCAAAGTGTTATCTTGGTTTACTCTTCTGATTTCAATATCAGTTATATAGCTCTCTGGAAGAAGGTCAATACCATCAAAATTATTTATTTCATCTGAGTCATTTTCTATGTAATCTGCTTTCATTGCAGTTCTAGAATTAAAATCCCCAATTAAAATAATTTGTCCTTCAATAGAAAATGAACTAATTTCATTTTCAAGATTTTCTAAGTCACTATCATAATGTGCTGATGAAAAAGGGGGAATATAAACAGCACAAAGATATATATCTTGATTAAGTCCAAAGAAATACTTATCAAGCTTTAACCATAATCTATTCTGGGATGACGTAGCATCTTTAAGATAAGAAATCCCCTTGTAAAATTGTTTTTTAATTGTGACTATAATGCCTCCACTATGTCTTTTGGCTTTTTTTGTTTTCTTTCGTATTTTAGAGATAATGTTATAGCCTTCAATTTTAAAATCTTCTGATCCCCCCTTCCAGGTTTCTAATAGTATATTTATATCTTTATTTAAAAAATCCAGAAACATTGGGTCTTTCATCTTATCTCCAAGGCCATGTACATTCCATGAGGAAATTGACAATTTTTTATGAACTCTGTTCATTTTTAATTTTGACTAGTGCCAGATATATATTAAACATTCTTGTTAGCCTGAAAACCTTCAATTATATTTAGACAGTTTGGTTAATGTTTCTATAAACATGATAGATTTAAACTGCAATAATAGTTCCAAATATTTTTTTTTTCTTTTTTTAATTCATGACTGCTAACAATACAGGAGTCTAAGGGAAATAACTCTTTTCATTTGTTAAAATGAATATTACAAGTGTTCTGTAGAACTAACTGAATACTACAAGTGTTCTGTAGAACTAACTTTAACATAATAAATCACCCAAAAAAATATATATACAGATATTTTTACATTTCTTCATGAAACTAATATATTTTTCTAAACACCCATCACGAACATGTACAATGTATATTGAAAAATAAGCAATTTTATCTCATTACATGTACTTTTTTTTTTTTTTAATCATCTTATTGTTGTAATAATACTAGTTCATCCTTTTATTATTTAGACTAAAATCTTCTTATCAAAACTTGAATATTTACATTCTAAAATGCAAGTGTACCTACATGTACATTTGATATTGCATGACTTAATACCTCATATTTCTCATTTCTTGGAGCATAAATTCCATCATTTCAAGCATTCTATCTCTGTTTCCATTACCCTCAACTTGATCTTTCCTATAGTTATTAGAATGATTACTTTGTGAAAACATGTTTTGGTTTTGATTATGACCATAGTAACTATTAAATTGATCTTTTTTCATATAATTACCAGTGTGTGTCTGATAATTTTTATGCATATATTGCACACCTTTCTGACCATAATTTGGTACTTTTCTATAGTCAGATCCATGTATATTCTGATCAACAAACACAATTAGACGCTTTAAAAGAATGTTGTGATAAATGGAAATGGAAGGTCAATGTCCAGCAAAGCAAAATAGTAATATTCTAAAGGTTGACTACTACAGAATGTTATTTTTAAATATGCTGATATTGTGTTAGATATTGTTGAAGAATTTAAATATCTTGGTGTATTTTTTCAAGAACAGGAAGTTTCATAAAAGCGAATTGTACATACAAATGAATGTACTTCGCCAACTTCGACAACATCATTTTTATGTACGATTCGCCAAGTTCGCCAACATTATTTGTTATGTACTGTTCGCCAAGTTTGCCAACATTATTTTTTATGTACTGTTCGCCAAGCTGTCAGTAATTGCGAGTACTCTCAGATCTGTACTTATTGTTTTTATTGTTTTGGGGATGTATAATTACCCTGCCACGTCCGGTCTGTGTTTTTATTACTTGTTTTTCTGCTTTGTTCCGATCTGACAAGTTAAATCCTTTTCAACTGATTTTTATAGTTTGTTCATAATTATGTTGTGCTGTTACACCACTGTCCGAGGTTAGGGGGAGGGTTTTGCGCCCGCAAACATGTTTAACTCCGCCACATTCTATATGTGCCTGTCCCAAGTCAGGAGCCTGTATTTCAGTCGTTGTCGTTTGTTTCTGTTTATCATATTTGTTTTTCGTTCATTGTTTTGTACTTAAATCATGCCGTTAGTTTTTCGTTTGAATTGTTTTACATTTGTCATTTAGGGGCTTTTTATAGCGGGCTATACGGAATGGGTTCTGCTCATTGCTGAAGGGTGCACGGTGACCTACAGTTGTTAACTTCTATACCACATCTTCTTATTTTTAAGTTTACCTGAAGAGTCCAACCTGCGTTAAAAAATAAAAGGAGAGTAATGGAACATATGGGGATTCAATGTTGTCCACTGAGAAAATCGATTGTGCTTAAATGACGAACATATTGCGATTCAATGTTTTCCGCTGACAAAATCAATTGTGTTTAAATGACTATAATTGGAACATATCGGGATTCAATGTTGTCCACTGACAAAATCAATTCTTAAATGCCGATAACTGGGACACATGGGGATTCAATGTTTACCACTGACAAAATTAATAGTTTTTAAATGACTATAACTGGAACATCTTGGGATTCAATGTTGTCCACTGTGTTTAAATGCCGATAACTGGAACATATTGGGATTCAATGTTGTCCACTGACAACATCAATTGTGTTTAAATGACTATAACTGGTAAATTTGACTTTATTTAAGAGACAAATGTAAAAAGGATGTGTATAACTGTTTTAGATTCTACAATGCTCTAAAAATAATTCGTCATCCTATAGATTTTATTTACGAATGCAAAATATACATTTGTGACATCAGGCAAACAATGTATTTTACAATAGTGAAAAGTAACCATCGGCACATAAACAAATAAATAAATGAAACTTGGTGTTTTTGGCATTAAGGGTCTCAATTTTATACTCGCAGTTTGATTTTATACACATGAATCATAGTCTGGTGGAAGAAGTTGATTAAAAACTTGATTATTTGAGTGACTTGTCTTATCCTCATCTCTTGACATCTGTAATGTTCCTGCAAGTTTTTGCCAGAACAGTTTGTCGGAATATTTGAGATATGTATAGGTTTGCAGAAAAAATCTAAGATCATAGTCTAACAAACTAAAGTCAATGTCTTCAATGAGCAAAACTAGTAAGTGGCGTCGGTGTTTCAATGTTTGGTGAAAAGCCTTCTGAAATTCCATTTGGCACCATTCACTTTCGATGAAATTTAATGACAGAATAAGCAGTGTATATCTGCTATTCTCAACGCTGTTGATGATATTTTCTGCTATGCATGCGCCTGGTATGAAATCTTTGTGGTGCAGGCAAAGATTAACATCTGGTAACAACGATTTTAGTCTCGTGCACAATACATCGTACACCCATCGTTCATCTGACGAGCTGTATGAAATAAAAGCGTCGTAATATTTGGGGTTATCTGGACAATGGCACTGAACGGCAGTTTTCACTCTATACAGTTGCTTAATTCTATATTTGTACTTAAGGAGGAGACACGTGAATACAATGACAAGAAAAACTAACGAAAATCCTAGAAAAGAATATTTGTATTTTTTAAAGATTCCTTCGCTGACACACACTAAACTATCACTTTTCTTACACATACCTTCGTTTGAAAAATCAGATATGTTTTTCAAGTTTCTTTCGCTTTCTTGGTCTAAACACTGCATTGATTTGAGATAGGTATATTGCTCCCAGTTCTTGTCATTTATCTCCGCAATGAATTCATAAAGTAATCTTTGGTAACATGTACAAATAAGCGGATTTTCTCTTATGTTAACTTCATTTCTTAACCGAGAAAACGATTTTAACTTGTTCGTGTCAAGATTTGATAGTTCAGTTATTTTATTCCTGGTCAAATCAACGTTTAGAATACCATCGAAATCATAATATTTGTAAAGAAAGCTGATATCCTCAATCTTGTTCCTGGAAAGATCAATTTTCTTAAGTTTGTTGATTGTTTGGTACATAGAGTCTGTGAACAAACTGCTCGGAACCCGTTCTAAACCATTATTTGTCAAGTTAATAACATTTAAGGAGTTGAATATGCCGTTCTGTAATAAATCGTTAATCATTACTTCAGCGGAGAAAGGGCTAAGAGAAGACATTTCAACATACGTGAGATTGTTATGAGCACATTTCCTAAGAAATCTCAGTTCATTTTCATAATCCAATTCCAATTTCAATTCTTTTGGGGTAAGTTGCCGTCCAGGGTAATAATCATCGAAAGAACTATTGTGAAATATAAAAGTACGTAAAGTATTAGATATTTGACATTTCTCATATGCCAGTAACTTTTCAAAATTTGTCTGAATGTGTTTCACATAATCTGACCTTCTGTACACTATTTTGCAGTTGGTAAATTTCAAATTTTGCAGTACCGATTCGATGGACAAAACTTCTTGTGAAAAATCATAATCATAATAATCGGTAATATAACAGTTCCTAACGGTTAATGATGTCATTTCCGGTAATTTTATTGGTTGCCTTATACTAATATTTCCACCACCATGACATTCTATTTCCAATGTAAATTGACCGTCTCCTAAGTAAGACTTCTTTGTATCGTTCATTAGTTCACGAAAATCGTCCAGGGACCATTGATCTCCTTTCGTCACATCACAGATTACACTTATAGGAGAAATATCATATAAGACTTTGCATGATTTACCGACAAATCTTTGTCCATTTCCATACTGAAAATTCACCAGAAATAGTATATTAAAAATATGAAACCACGGCATTGCTAATATTCAGATATCTTGTAAACGGTAGAAAAAAATTAACAAATGTTTGTACGACATCTACTTATAGAAAAATATAATTTTATCTCATCTAATGTGAATGTCTCTTTTCATTGGATATTTTTTCACACATCATCTACATGATCATTGTCAAGTATTAATATGTTGTCGGAAGGTTTATTTTCCACAAACGCTAGCAAATGTCGGATATTATACCACTTTTGTGTTCGTTGATATAAATATAATACAGAGGAAATGTATGTATAACAATAAACAATTTGGTTAATTTCCTGTGTAGATAAACAACTAATTCTCTCTTGTTGGTCCGACAAAAAACACAAAAAAGATTTAAAAAAAAAAATCGTAGCGGTTTCATTTTCAATGCATGTGATGTATATGCAATCAGGGGCGTAGCTACCTTCTAAATGAAGTGGAATCACAAACTAAAGGGCGAGGGGTCTGGGGGCCGCCTAAGGCCCCCAGTATGTCCAGGGCTTTTGCCCTGGTAGGGGTCCAGGGGGGGCGAAGCCCCCCCCCCCCCCCCGTAAGCTCTGCATATATAGTGTTTCAAAACAATCACAACCGTAATAAAACTTGGACATTTTTGTTGTGTTTTTTTTGTTTACTATTTGTTTAACTTCGAGTCGAATGAAGACTAAACATTGTCGTTTGCGTATTTGTACGCCGTGAAAGCTTTTAAAATCACGGAGATTAATTGTTCCATATATGCTAGTATTTGTATTGAGCAAAGAAGTATAAAAAACAAACAATAAACATAAACACAATACTATATGTGTTGTTTCTGTTAGCATAAACATCATTAGATACCAAATACTTGGTGGACACATTCTCCAATATTTTGCTTAACATATGTATTTAGATGTTTAAAAATTTTGTGGGTAAACTCTACAAGACAGAGGGATATGAATTTCTAATTTTACGCAATAGGAATTGTCGAAGTTGAAATTAATGAACTTTTTCATAGGGGAATGGTACTTTGATCACGATCTTTTTCATGATCTGCGTTTGTTTATTATCCAGCTAATTAACAAATACATATGCATTCGACCAGTTGTATGACAATATCTAGATGATAACAGTGAAGATATGTGTATTAAAAGTTTGGTGTATCTTTCGAACAAGAATCAGCAGTTTAGTGTCCGACTCGGACAGAAAAATCATTATAAAATTGAATGACCAAATAGTCCAGTAAAACGAGTTAGAATTAACAATTTATTTAAATGCTTTAACAATCAACCATTTGTTTAGCCGGTCCATATAGAAACGACTTCCAATTATCGAATCTATATACAAGATGTTTTTTTGTTAAATAGATGAAAACGTAATACATGTACTGGAAAATATGTACTTTTTTTTTTATAATAACAGCAGTTCCAACTTCTCATCTGCTAGTATACGGAAACTATTGATTGATTGAATTGTTATTAATGTCCGGTAGCAAATATTAAATGCACACCAGGTCAAGAATACGTTGACGTGATGTGAAAATGAACTATTCGTGTTGTCAAGACCTACATACTTGGTCAATTTTGAACTAGTTCACAAGGTAACAGTTATTATTCCCGGATCGATACGAGTTGAAGAGTCTTCGTTCTAGTACGATGTGTGCTATGGGGCGAAGCGGAAAATAATAATTTGCAAGTTTTTTTGTTAACCCTAAAGGGATTATGTTTTTTTTTTTTGCACTCTACGTTATGGTGGTGGTACCGACAACTATGTAGCTGGTATTTTCTAAACAATGCCCGTATTATAAAAAGTTTACACCAGTTGCATGTATTTATGGTACACATACATATCTTACATGATTAAAAATTTCGCTGCATGTGTATTCCTCTTGCTTTTATTCTTTGTGCTGTTTTTAAAATGCATACATAGAAAGACCAATTCCTGTATATGTTAACTTTGTCCCCCTCTTTCTCTCTGTTTTTTTTTTTTTTTTCTCTTTTTTTTTGTGTGAAAACGACGTGGATGCACGTGCTGCCGTGCCTCCGGGTAGCTACGCCCCTGTATTTTCAATAAATATATTAATACTATATATATATAGTTAAGACAAATTGCCGATAAAAAGAATAATGGCATTTTATTTTTTTATACTGACTTCATCAGCTCGAACATCAGCTCGTCCTAACGGGCTCGCTTGACATTCTTGCTGTCAGTATCAAAAACAAAAACGTCATTATTTTTTATATATATAACAAATTTTTCGTTTGTTTTCCTATGCATGTGACGTTCAATGTCACGGGAAGCTCGTGCTGTTATGAATGTTGTATTTAATTGGGAAATAAAATCTAATTTTAAAATTTTGAAATGCCTCTCGATTGGCCATTATTTTAAGGTCCCTTTTGGTCATGTGGCTCTTCAACTGTTTCGGTTCATACATAACCTTGGTTTTCAAATATTCGGCTTTGAGCGTTCCTGATGAAGGTAGAATAAGATCAATAAAAGCGCTTCGGACGCATCAAATTTATAAAGTGTTATTTTTCATTTTTTTGGGGTCAGCCAATCAAGATTCATATGAAACATTCACATTAAAGGCATACGATACAGTTTTGATCCAACGGTGAATTATTGACGAAAGTTTGCATACAAGCTATTTTTCACCTAGTCATTTCAAAAATGTAATAAAAAATATACCTTCATGTGCTACTTTTAGGGATAAATGGGGTCGAAATTTTAGACATTTACAGGACATTTCGGTTTCTTGGACATTTCTATCCAATAGAAAGACATACTTTACTTTTTTGTGTCAAAAGATGAACGCAAGCGGAGTTTTGTAAAAACATCTGGAATATCTTCTCTACAAAATTGTGTTTTGAGTTTGTGTAACATTTCTTTGGAACTTATTCATTTTAATCATATGTTCATGATTTTAGTCAAAAAACGGCATTTTTGGCTGTATATTTTCCCTTATTTAAAAAAATTTCATCGGTGATTTGATCATAAAAATTGGCACAAATAATCTTCATACATAATCAAGCCTAATGTCAGTTTTAACAAGAGGGGTCCATGAACTCGTTTTCAAGTTAAATCATTCTGAATGATTAAAATCAGTCGAAAAATGCATCTTTTCTCGATGTGTCACAGTTTGTTAACGTCGCCATATCGAGGGGTGTTTAGTTCAGTGGTTTTGCCATGCTTTGGTACAGTATAGGTCATGGTTTGGTTAGGTCACTTTCCAGTACGATTGTCTCCGTTCTTTTCAAGTGAGCAAATTAAAAGCAAATAAAACGTTTGAATCTATACTGTTAGTCAAACGATCTGAATTGAAATTGTTGTTTTTAAGAAACTTACGCAGGATATAAAGCAAGATATCGAAATTGACATGGTTTGGTTAAGCGATTGACACGGTTCAGTTAAGTGTCTAGAAATTTGTCATGTTTTATTGAATTTGTCTTGGTTTTATCGAATTTGTCATGGTTTAGATCAAAATTAATGCATATATATTCGTTAAACTTAAATATTGTTAAGTTTTTTTGAAGGCACTTAACTTGGTGAAAAAACGAAGTTACACCGTTTACCAACTGACTAAGAAGCCTTTTTAACCAAATTAGGTGGGCGTTATCAGCAAACCGTACTTGAGACATTTTTACGTGTGTTTCCTAGATTAGAGTAACTCTAATAAATATAACTTATATAACCATAGCTGTTTTGAATTGACATTCGGTAAAATAAATTACAATAAATGGAGAATGTGTCAATGGGACACAGATGATGCCCCCGCTTGCATAAAACATTATAAAGGGACATAACTCAAGAACAGTAAAAGTGGCGCCACCCAAATTCGAACTTGATCTGTGTTTTGTGGTAATAAGCATTGTGTATAAGTTTCATAACATTTGGTTGTGGCAAACTAAAGAAAGAGAACGGAAACCAATTTTTGGACGGACGTACGGACGGACAAGGATAACACTTAATGCCCTTCCATCGCGGCAGGGGCATGAAAATAGAAAGCATTGCTTCTGTTTCACCTAGAATTATTTCGCTGTATGCCGATGATGCATGGACTCTGTCGGGAATTTACAGATATCGTGAGCGGTATCACTTGTCCAATGGTTAAAAATGTCTGCTTTAAGTTGCAAAACATAGCAGCTAGTCACAAAATCATCCTTGCGTTTTTTTTTCTAGCAAACTAAATATCTGTTGCTTTTATTTTGAACCAGATTATGACAATGATGAATAAAAGGAGATGTGGGGATATACGTCAATGATACAGTAACCCAACTGCTAAACTAACCAAACGGTATCGAGAGGGCACCATACAGTCTTCCACAAAAGACAGGTGTCTGAACAATATTTCAAGCTATTCATCGCCCGAGTCTATAAAGTTGTGAATAACTTAAACAGAGACAAGCAAAATGATTAGGACAAAGTTAACATAAGACTAAATTAAAGACTGAATGGAAGGCTAAAACATAATTAAGTTGAAGAGCAATGAAAACCAAGTATTCCATAAAATTGTGCCTGGGGGTAGAAAAAACATTATATTTACGGTACAGAACCTGACTGCATGGATAATATTTAATGTCAGCCCATGAATGTTGACTACTGGGTGATACCTACCTAACTCGTGATGAATTGTCCGTGGCTACATAATTTTTTTATTAGTTGTTATTGGAGGAACTAGCTTTCAGTAATAGCGAGTACTCTCAGATCATTTCTTTGTGTCTTCATTGTTTATGTTGATTCATTGTTTTGCTCTGTATTGATCTGATTTGTCAAGCCTTTTTCAACTGATTTTAATAGTTTGTTCTTGTGCTGCAACACCACTGTTCCAAGAACAGGGAAGGGTTGGGAGCCCGTAAACATGTTTAAACCCGCCACATTCGTTATGAGCCTGTCCCAAGTCGGGAACCTTCATTTCAGTGGTTGTCGTTTGTGACTGTACTAATTTATCGTGCATGTTTTTCGTTTGTTGTTTTGTACATGAATCAGGCCATTGGTTTTCTTATTTGAATTGTTTTACATTTGGTTATGTCGGGGCCTTTTATAGCTTGCTATATATGTGGTATATATACGGTT